CTATGGAGCCTGGCAAGTCCAAAATCTTCACAGTTGATGTCTCAGGCTGGCAGGCTGCTGTAGAAACAGGAAGAGCTCACGGTCCATTTCAAATGCTTCCAGGCAGGGAGAATTCTCTCTTACTTGGGGAGAAGGCAGCATTTTATTTTATTCAGGCCTTCAACTGATTGGATGAGGCTCACCCACATTAGGGAGAACAATCTACTTTATTTAGTCTGCTAATTCAAATATTAGCCTCATTCAAGAATGCTCTGACATACACCAGAGTAACATTTGACCAGGATTTAGACAGTGTTCTTAAAATCACTGATGACCTTGGAGGTAGATGCTGATGCTTCTGGAGCAGATCTGTGTCCTGCTTTTTATGTAGTCAGTGCTATCACCACGGTTCTCTGGGAAGATGGTAAATGCTGATAACCATTTTGTGCATGTTACAGTTTTATCGTTAACTTTATTGAAAAAAAATATTTACATTTCCATTACTCATGCAGTTTCTTTTTTGTTGAACTTATTGCTACTGAAGGTTTATTGTAAAATGAAAACACCATAGCAAACACTAAAATAAATAGTTCTAGATTTATACTGCACAGAATGTGGAAAAGTTGCCACAGCAAGGCTGCTCCCATTACTGTCTATGGGCCCTTGAGCAAGACCACTGCCTTCTAGCTTCTGCACATCATACCTCTCACCCTGACTTTCCCCACTGACCTGGGGGGCCTGGTGGCCTGTGGTTTCCTGCACCTTGCAGGGCACGGCACAACTGGCAAGAACAGAAATACTGAGTCTGTATCTTAGCACCACTCCAGAGGGGGAATTACTCTCCTTAGTGGCTTGTGTCTATGTGCATTTCAACGTCTAGAGGAGAGCTGCACGCAATGTCTCTGAGATGGCTGCACTGAGTCAAGATAGGATTGGGAAGGAGAGGCAGGTCAGCCCTCATTGTCTTCCAGATGTATCCTGGAGTTGAAGTGAGAACTCACTCACTGCACATGTGACTCCCACTCCAAGAGATGCAATTGTGGCAGAAGCCAGAAGTACAAGTGAAAGGGCACCAATCCTATCTTGGCTTCTTTTAAAGCAATTATTATTTTTTTTTACAATGTTTTTATTTTGTTTTTGAGAGAGAGAGAGAGAGAGAGAAAGAGAAAGCAGGAGAGGGGCAGAGAGAGAGACACACAGAATCCAAAGCAGGCTCCAGGCTCTGAGCTGTCAGCACAGAGCACAATGTGGGGCTTGAACCCACAAACTGCAGGGGCATGACCTGAGCTGAATTCAGACGCTTAACCGACTGAGCTACCCAGGCGCCCCTTAAAGCAATTCTTAAGAAGAGTCCATTACACAATAACAAACTAGGCAGGGCACTAGGACAATATGGGTCAACAGTCACGATCCATGACAGAGCATTTGGTCACCCTACCTATAGGTGTTTTATCCTTGGGCTCTAAGGGATGCTCTGATCTCAACTCAGTTTTTAGGGTCGTTTCTCTGTTTGGAGTTTCCACATCTGTGTGGTGTCAGTGACCAGGACTTGCATGAGCGTGGGGGCAAGATGGGGATTCTGCCCTCCCGCAGACTTGGGGTCCTCCAAGAATTGCTGCCGAAGGCTGTTCAGTGATGCTTCCTAGGTGACTTGGAGGGAAGGGCTTCCCAATGGGACCACCCATTCTCTGTTCTTACCTTGATGTAGAAAGCCCAATTTTAACTCCTGGCCTATATGGGGCCTGAGGCCTGCACTCTTGTCCCCACGGAGGACTTAAATCCACTTGTTGTTGTGGCGTCTCTCCTCATTTCTGACCCTTGTGACTTCCCTGTCCCAGCCTCCTTCATAAGTGCAACTCAGCTACCCATGAAACAGACATGTACTGAAACCAGAACTTCTGTATGTTTGAGTAGGAGCTGAAGGGGGAGGATTGCTTAGGATGTCCCCTCCCTCTCAGACATCAAACCTCTAGGCCTCCTCTGCTTGTCCTTGAATAGAAGGCACCAAATGACTGTGGAAGTCAGATGGGCATAGGGGTGTTTTTCTCCCTGCTAATCGGAGACAGCTTCTTAAAGGCAGAAACTTCTAGCACAAGGCTGAGCCCGTGGAAGATTCTATAGGGAAGGCCAGGGAGAGAGTTTTCTACCTCTGTCATACGGTAGAGGCTACAACTCTGCTTTTGGCCTTGGAAGGAAGGAGGATTGTTTTGTATCTGAGGAGTTTGATAAGATAGATTCTCCATACCTCTTTGGGCAGAGGAAGTAAGTTCCAGGATTTTCTTAACATTTTCATTCATTCATTCTTCCTTAACTCTCAAAACATTTTTTAAAAGTGTATTTATTTATTTTGAGAGAGAGAGAGAGAATGTGGGGGAGGGGCAGAGAGAGAGGGAGAGAGAGAGAATTTCAAGCAGACTTCACACTGTTAGCATGGAGCCCGACTTGGGGCTTGAACCCATGAATGACAAGATCATGACCTGAGCTGAAACCAATGGCCGGATGCTTAACTGACACCCAGGTGTCCCACCCCCGAAATACTTTTTTAACATCTACACCTAATGTGTGGCTGAAATGCTAGCTGTGATGCCAACCCTTCCAGGTTAAGGAGAAGAGCTGCCCCTGAGGGCAAAGGAGGGCCCTACAGACTCACTGTGTGGACACAAGTCTCTAAGAACCACTTCTTCCCCCTTCACAGCCACTACAGGAAACTCTTATGGCTCCCATCTCTTTGCTAGAGGCCTGACTATTGCTGGGAGGAAGACCCTTGGCCAATCTGTGGGTCCACCAATGGGGGTGGTGACTAGGGGCTCTCTTGGCAGGAGAGCTGGGGAAGGTCCAAGTCCAATGGGGGCAACAACACCAATAGAACCCTGTCAACAGCTCAGGGTCTGAGTGGCCAGAAACTGAAAAGGTTCAAAGCTTCAGGGGTCCTGAGGGTCGGTTGGGGCATTGGCAGGACAAGCCTGGGACATTGGGTGTGGATGGGATGGTTGAACAACCCCCCTTGACTTGGGAGAAAGGCAAGGCAAGAGGGAGATATTAATCCTTTTATACCGGATTGACCCAGCCTAGTGTTGACCACTGCTTCCAGCATCTTCTGGATACTCTAACAGTACTCTCAGCAAAGCTTCTTCCCAGGCTGGCCAGGGTACCTGATTCTCTCCTGCTCCAGCACTGTCTCCAGCATACGGCCTGGAAGAGTGCCCATCTGCCCCTTCCCCCTCCCCCCAAACACACATACATACTCACACACACATACACGCACACACACACATATTTTAAGCATACATACACCCACGCATGCACATGTGGGTGTGCACGCACACACACATGCACACACACACACACACACACACACACACACACACACATCTCATCCACACAGGCTGCAGGAGTGTTTTGCAATTCTGGTCAGGCCTGGGCAGGATAAGATGGCAGCTCTCATATTTCCCTCTAGGTCATAGTGGTTTCAGTCACATAGTAGATGTGGATGTTTAAAAAAAAATGTGAAATATGAATACATGAATAAGTGAGTGAGTGAAGGGATGGAAATTTAAGAAGAACCTGGAACCTCCTTCCTCTGTCCAAAGAGGTCTGGGAAAGCTTACTGTATTTCTGATATAAGGCACACTCCCAGTGGCCTCAACGTAAGAAGGAAAAGAGTGGGGCAGTGCTCCTTGTGAGGCGCCTTCTCAGCTGGGGCACACCTGTCTCCTGGACTTCTCTCAGAAGGTGCTCCAGGCCAGTGACATGCCTGCTCTGGGGCTCCCTCTCTCTACCTGAATCCAGCTTGACCTCCAAGAGCAGGCTGACTGCATGGAAACACATGGAGCCAGGCACACTTTGGATGGCAAGACCCAGAAGGCAGCAGTGGCAATGGTGAGATGATGGGTGTGATCCACTTTGGCCCATCCCATCATCAGCAAATAAATAGGGCAGACCACAGAGGTGGGAGAGCAGACCGCTGGCCTGGGAAGAATCAATGAGTGGTAATGTCTCTTCTGTCTTAATCCTGGGGGCCACAGTCCCCTGTCAGTTACACAGCTGTGATAAGCTGACTACTACAGGATTTGTGCCACTGTGTGGATGAGGCATGAGGCTGTAGGGGAAGCAGCACAGAAATAAGAATCCAGGAAACCGAGTTCTAGTCGTGATTCTCTCATTGCATCTTGTGTGACTTTGAGATAGGTACTTGACTTCTTTGAACATTGAGCTCCTTGAAAAATGAGTATAGCCAACTTTGCTTCATCTCTCTTCTAGGGGAGATGGGACCTCCCAGGGTTAGAATGAGAGAGAGACTTTAGACACCAGCCAGCAATGCCCTCACCTGACACAGATAGAGAGCTGAGGTCCAGAGACAGAAGGGACATGGGCAAGGTCACACAGCAGACCAGAGGCAGAGCTGTGCTCCCAACCAGGTTTCTGGCCTCTCGGGCAGCGCTGGTTCCCCTGCCTCAGTCTAAGCAATGTAGGTCCTCACAAAAGGAAGAGTTTTCTATAGGCTCTAGGCAGCTCTAGGTCTTCTAGCAGGGAGACCAACACATGAATTAGGCTGCAGGAGGTCAATCCTATTGTACAAATTGCAGAAAGGAAACAGAATCCCAGGACCTGTTCCCACACTAGCCAGAGAACCACTTTGTTAGCTGGAAGTCTTTCCTGGTGTCTGGTGTCACCCTCACCCTTATCCATTTAAACCCACTGGTGGTAGTTCTGTCTTTAGTGTCTAAGCTCAGCCTTAGTCAACAAGTGATGTTTGCCTGTCTGAGCATAAACTCTGTGCTTAGCAGAGAAATACAGCTTTCTTCCAAGATGCAGGGAAAATTCATTTGGGTTGGATTTTCAGGGGGTAGAAGGTGGTTTTCAGAAAGAAGAGAGAGGAGATATGATGACTGCCATTTTATTTATTTTAATCACTAGAAAGCTCTGATCTACTGGGTGCTGAGCACATCACATAATACTTTCATAATTGTCAATGGCTTTTCCTCAATCATAGTCTTTAGTCAGTGGACACCAGGAGCTCTCTACTTCTTCTTTGCTTTTGCTTTCTTTCCTTTGTTTGTTTTGTAGAACTTAAGAGATTCATCTTGGTCTGGCTGACCAGTGATAGAGAGGGGGGAAGGGATAGGAGCATTGAGGTTCAAAGTCTTCTGAAGTTTCAGGTCCAAAATATCAAAAGTTATCTGTATCTCATATTGCAGCAGCTCCTTCAGGCATTCAGTCTCAATGTGAATGACCTCATCAATGAGCTTTTCTAACTCCTGGAAGAAATAGAACATGGCTGGTGATCAGAACTCTGGGGAGACTGAGGCTATCTGCAGATATCCAATTCTGAACACATCCACTCCTTTTTCTGTATTCTAAACCTTACATTTCCCCCACCAGATCTCTTGGTCACCCTTCTCACCCCTACTCTGTGCTCTGAGAGGCTAACTTATAAGGGCTGCCTCAACCAGCTACCTTGACCTATGGTTTTAAGTTGAGTTCAGCCAATGGGAGGTACTGGCAGGAGATCTGAGCCTGGGAAGAGAATGAAGTCTCTCACCTCCTTCAGGATCCACTGTAGATTGGCCATGACTCTAACCCTCTGCCTACAGCCTCCTAACCCACAGCCCTCTCCTACAGCTCTCTTTTTGGATTCCAATGACTGTTTCTTTCCTTCTCCCATCAGGCCTACTGTGGCAACAACCCTGTTGGACTGTGTCATTGACTACTAACATTGTTCTGGGCCCATAGGCTAGTCCCATCTTCTCCTATCTTCTGGTCAATGAACTTTCCATTTGGATATCATCCCCCTTCCTTCCCCTCCTGCCCTCATCTCATTTTTACATCTCAAAGTTCTAGTAGCAGCCTAGTAGCAGCACTGTCAGAAGGGACAGTGCAAGTTGCTCAGAGAGTGGAAATGTCCTCCAGCCAGCCAGCCATGGAAAGAATGGAAACTCAGTCACCTTCTGCCATGTTAAAATGAGACCCTGTCTGTCATCTCAGTCAGTATTATGGCACCATGGAATCCTGGAGACATGGACCATGTAACTGTGTGTCTACAAATTTCTTGTTTGAGGAACCAAACAGCAGAGGAGAGTTTGTGCTTGTCTTGAGGGTGTCAGGGGACATACTTAGAGTAGCTGATGCCTAGAAGACATTTCTTTGAGATCTCTTATTTTAACTAAAACCTAGTGTAAAATCTTATATTTGCCCCAGAATATCTCCTTGGTTGTTTTATATAAAAATAATGTTCTTCCCCTAAGTCCTTGGGGAAGACTGTGCTCCAAGAGGATGTACTGTGTTTATCCTATGGTGTTCAGTGTCCCCACCTCTGGCACACAATCAGGGGCACACAGTGGAAGGGACTCTAGTCCACGAGCTCCACCAGGCAGGGACCAGCAGCAAAGTAATGGGGGCTGGAAGAGGACCTGGGAGGGGCAGGGAAGGACAGCAGGAGTGGGAGGGAAGGCAACACCTCCCATCCATCGCCTTGTCCACATGTTCTAGAGCAAGGTCCCCCAGAGGAGACAGGTTATTGCTTAAGTTCTTTTTTTCTTTAAAAATATTTTTTGATAGAAAGCACAAGCAAGGGAAGGGCAGAGGGAGGGAGGGA